CCAAAATCTTATTATAAACCTATTTCTTGGTAAAGAATTGCTGCAAGCACCAATTTTGAATAAATTAGCTTTAATCGTGGTTATTGTCCGATTTTAAAACTTTTCGGCCATTTGGTATGCTGTACCAAGACCAACAATTGTGCCAAGTTTGGAAGAAATTGGTGCAGCGGTTACCAAGATATACACATGTAACCATAAGTGGGCGTGGCTACGCCCATTTTCCAAAGATTTATAATATTCTTATTTTTCGTCTAAAACTTATTGTAAATGTCAATTTTGAGTGAATAATCTTCAGTAGTTACTAAAATATCGCAGTTTTCGTACTTCTGAAAATTACCGTTATATGCGAGGTAGGCGTGGTTATTGTCCGATTTTGCCCACACGTACACACGGTAGAGAACAAATTAGTAGTGAATTCGATTCCCTACAATTTTCATGGCCTACCAAATTTTTTTAAACAATTATTTATTGCTAATAATATGCAAAAATGCCCAAAATAAGGCAAGTGGCGCGGTTTTTTTTCGAATTTTGAGCAATTTCTATTTGAAATATGTGGCACATTTAAATGGCAAAGTTGTAGAGTTTTGAGTAGCTTCTCCGTTTCCGCTGCATTGAGCGCGTGGTTGGTCGAGATCTACACGTCGTACGTAAACATATAAATAATGCGTTTTTTGGAAATTTTGACCTCTACAACTTTACCATTTAAATGTGCCACATAGTTCAAATAAAAATTCCTCAAAATTCAGAAAAACCGCGCCACTTGCCTAATTTTGGGCATTTTTGCCTATTATTAGCTATAAATAATTGTTTAAAAAAATGATAGGCACATGAAAATTGTAGGGAATCGAATTCTCTACTAATTTGTTCTCTACCTTTTTTCGCGAGAAATGCAAAATTAGCACGCAAATCGTAAAAAACACAAAATCCAAGATGGCGGACATTACCATATCGCAATTGGGGGAAAAATTTTTATTTTGTGTTCACCTAAACAGGAGACACCAAACTGCGTCAAAAATTTTTTCCTGGAATTTTTTCGTTGAAAAAATCTAATGCAAAATTCGCGCGCAAATCGTAAAAAACACAAAATCCAAGATGGCGGACATTTACCATATCGCGATTGGGGGATAAGTTTTTATTTTGTGTTCACCTAAACAGGAGACACCAAACTGCGTCAAAAATTTTTTCCTGGAATTTTTTCGTTGAAAAAATCTAATGCAAAATTCGCGCGCAAATCGTAAAAAACACAAAATCCAAGATGGCAGACATTTAACATATCGCAATTGGGGGAACAATTTTCATTTTGTGTTCATTTAAACAGGAGACACCAAACTGCGCCAAAAAATTTCTCCCCGGAATTTTTTCCTTGAAAATATCTAATGCGAAATTCGCGCGCAAATCGTAAACACACTAAATCCAAAATGGCGGACATTTCCCATACCGCAATTGGGGGAAACATTTTCATTTTGTGTTCACCTAAACAGGAGACACCTAGGTAAGTGCGTCAAAAAATTTCTTCCCGGAATTTTTTCGTTGAAAAAATCTAAAGTGATTGGGCTATTACTAGAATCGAATGGGCTACAAAATTGCATACGTAAAAATTTTCTGAATATTTGGATACTAGTTTTATGAACTCGTATACATACATAATATACCTAGTTGGCCTGTGCCAATTTAACGCGATTCAAAGTCCACCAGAACGTCACGCTTCGCGTGCCCATTAGCAACCCAGTATAAATTTTATGCATACGACATCGCTGTTGGTGGCATGAGCTTGCTGCTGTGTATACATGTCAGTATAAATGAACCTTCATTTCTATGTAACACGCGTGGTTTCTCAGAGCGTATGCGTACTCTAACCAAACACTTGTACTACTGCTGTATGCATATGGCTGTATTACTGTTTCAAACATACAAAAATGCATTAATGGAACAGTATTAAAGCATTCTTACAAGATATATATCCCCATATGAAAATGCTACTTTTCTGATACATTTTAATATACGGGGACATACAAGAAAGTAGCATTTGCATATGCAAATGCGTATCTTGTAAAAGCCCGTTTGTGCTGAAAATAGTATCGCACAACACGTTCGTTCACTAAAATTTTTGAAAATATTACAAAAATTACACTTCGAATTTATCAAGAAATGTACTCAAAACAACGACAACGTACATTCGCTTGCAATTCACTAGAATTTGAATTTATTCGTGGAAATTCATGACTACGCATGAATTGTTCACGCTAATTCACTTATATAGCAAGCATTCTTCATGAACGCATACCACCGATTTCTACTGGGTATGTACGCTAGTTATGTACGTAGTACATATGTACATATGTATTCCCAGCAAAAATCACGATTACCACAGCAATTAAAATGGAATCGAATTAGGCGATGGGAATTGCTTACCCTTTCGCTTCCAGAAGGCATTATTTTATGTGGCAGGTAATAAGATCAACGGAAATAAGGTCAATTGACCTTACTTGCCACCCTGGTCAATTCAATTGACATTATTCCTTTTTCCAAAGCGAAATAAAATCCATTAAAATTGCTCTTTCAAACATTAGATTTGCTTAGCTTCGCGGCGGCCCGCGTACCCCTCGCAACCCGCGTCCACACCACGTCACGCATTTTGGTACATTGGCTTGAATGTGCCTTCTGATAAATAGTGTCGTCGTTCTCNGCGAAATAAAGTCAATTGACATTATTCCTTTTTCCAAAGCGAAATAAAATCCATTAAAATTNCAATTCAATTGACATTATTCCTTTTTCCAAAGCGAAATAAAATCCATTAAAATTGCTCTTTCAAACATTAGATTTGCTTAGCTTCGCGGCGGCCCGCGTACCCCTCGCAACCCGCGTCCACACCACGTCACGCATTTTGGTACATTGGCTTGAATGTGCCTTCTGATAAATAGTGTCGTCGTTCTCTTTAGCTGCTTTTAAATGATGTCGTCAGAAAATGCTGGCGGAGACATGACTAATGTAAGAAAATTTCTTTTCTACAATTGTTTCCTTATAGAAAGTTGGTTTCTTTTCCACCTTAGACATTCCGAATTCGTTCAAAATATGCTAATTTGAAACATAGAATTCTTTCAGTGTTCCTCCGGGGGTTTTGGAGATGGACTGTTTATTCAATTTAATAGTTCGCTTATTTTTCTTTCTTCAAATATTTCTAGCATTCCAGCTGCGTTTTGCGTTTGGTTTTTCGCATCGTGTTTTTACTATATTCATAATTTGAAATTTTTTAATAAAATCAATTGGTGGTAGTTCATGATTGTGTGTGGATTAATAGCACCACACTGAGGATTTGGCAATAACCTTTTTCATCTATTAAAAAAGAACACTTAGGCTATCTGCACACTTGTCGTCCAATCATAGTTATCGTCTCGCCCTGATATTTTGGGCAGAGCACATGCATTTCAAAGAAGATCTGCACACTTGTCGTTATCGGCTAGTTATCGACAAATCGTAGAAGATGCAGAAACGGATAGGTACGGCACTGTCGTTTGCTAATCGTTGTGCACGCATTGTTTGTTTACATTTTATGGGGAAAAATTAGTGAAAAAGTTAATATTTGCATTAAAATTGCATAAAAATTTGGGTCTTTGGCATAAAATCTTTTCGAAGTGGATAATTCCAATAAAATTCAATAAATGTGAGCGTTTTAACAATAAAACATGACGAAATTGTAAAAAGTCTCTGTGTGCATGCACAAAATACATTTCAGGAAAATAAAAGAAGAAGAGATTATGTCTAGAAGTGTTGCAGCACAGTCCATATTATAAAAATTGCAGGGTTTTGTAAATATTTCGCGAAAATATCAACCAGAAAAGCAGAAAATACCTGCTCCAAGTAAATTTTTAGACGCCAAATGAATTGAAATATCACGACCGAGTGTGCGAAAATGTAGTCGTCATGTAATCGTTGCATGATGATTGTGACGATAAAGTAACTATGACTCGACGACCAATGCGCAGAAAGCCTTACAGGGAAATGTTTATTGTAAGAACAAAATTTTTTTCTATAAATCGACATACTTTAAGCATTGAATGAGGAAATAGCGTCAATGACTTTATTTCCAAATTTTTGTTGACTTTGTTTCGCTTTTGAAAAGGTAATAATGTCAATTGGCTGTGCACTTTCGCACCACGGTGGGAAATAAAGTCAATTGACCTTATTTCCGTTGATCCTGTTACCTGTCACCTTATTTTAACATGGACATGTCATTGGCCGTCAGCCCTTACCCGCAGCATTACCTTCGAACGAAGGAGAACGCTTGTATAAACAGAATCCCGAGAAGCGAACAAAGAATGCCTAACAGAGAAACTAATGTAGAATGCCTAGATAAGCACATACTTAAATACATCAAATTGAAAACAGAAAATACAGATTGTCTCAGGCTGCGTTTCACCAGACTCATTTAATGACTTTACTTACTTACTTTACTTTAATTTTCGAATTTTTGGTTTCACCAATCAATTAAATAATAAAAATTAAATCAGAATAACCACACTCAGAGATGTTACACGTTTAACCAGCTGATGAATATACACACACCACAATTTTGTGTATCAGCTGTTTATTTGTATAACAGCCCTGCTTTTACAACCACTTTTAGAACAGTGCTTTTTTTCCTCACTGAAATAAAGGGCTTATTGAGACTTAAATGAACTTAAGCTTAAATGAGAATTAAATTAATTAAAGTTAATTTCGATTACATTTTCAACAGAAAGTAACGGTAAACAATTTTTTTTGGGTATTCATTCTATTTTTCAGCTGACTACGATGAAGCATTCTACTTTGTTTCCCTGTAATGAATCAAAGCAGCGAAATTAATTAAATATTGGAGAACATTCTACTGTGTATTACCGGCAATGCCTAAAAGAAGCGAAAAAATTAGAAGACATAATAAGGCAATGAGGTCTAGAACACGTTACCACTACAAGCGATTACCGATTTTGTGCTGGGTGCATGCTTGTCTTATTATTGCCGAATTTGCTCGTCTGTATATATGTATATACACATGTACACATGTTTGTATGTATGTTTAAGCCCCTAAGCAGTGTTGCCAGGTTAACACTTTGGTCGTCATTTTGAAGATTTTACGCCCATGACGATTTGACGGTTTTTTTGCCCCAATGACGATTTTTATTTATGTGTAAGTCTGGTTTGGTTCTCAACTTTGAAGATAGTTACACAGACAACTAAAAATTGCAGTGTAAACACTTGTTTACCATTTCTGCTAATACATAATTGTTGTATCCATGTGGCAGCACTAACAGCAGTTGTCGATAAGTAGTATATGTAGCTCAAGAAAATTTACACCAACGGCAAAGTTCTTCTTGTTATTATTTAAAATGTTTAATTTTCTGAACAAAATTGTGTCATTATAAATTTTAAAAGGCTGATAAATTCAAAATTGATTGGTGCAGCCGGGCATTAATGATCTAAAAATTAAGAAGAAAATGCGATTTTATTGCAATTAAAAATATTTTTGTTTAAAGTAATGTGAATTTTAAAATTTCGTAAAAACGTTTAACTTTTATATTTTTACGTATATCAATCAGAAAAAAACAAAAGAGCTTCCTGGTTTTATATGATGACGATTTTTACATGCAAATGACGAATTTTGAGAATAAAACCGACGATTTCTCACTGCAGTAACCTGACAACACTGCCCCTAAGGCACAATTTGGTCTACATTTTCTCAACTCGCCGGCTGACAGCTTATTTTAAGGCATTTTAATGCGACAAATATATTTACATTAACAAGTTTACAAACAGTAGTTATGCTCGCACGCCTATCAAATGTATAAATGAGGTAATTTATACAAGATTTGAAGCCTTCATATATACATAACTATGCACATACATACATAACTTTTCGCTAATGTAATTTGTGGTTGCTGTTTTCAAAGTATAAAGTCAAGTCAATGTTCTTACTGGAGGTTATAAATCAACTTTGTTGCTTGGATTACTATTTTCAATACTGGTAATTTTTTACAGGCAATTAATTTACAAATAATGTGAAAATTATGCGGTCAAGCTAAACTTTTTTATTTATATTTTTTTTTGCAGACACGCAAAGTTTTGTATGTATATCTTGTGTCTAATTCTCTTTATGGAATATTCAGCCAAATTCGTGATTATTTGTACAGTAAGCCACCAAAGTAATCATGATTTATTAAATTTTGGGTTAACAGATTTTGCACCTGAAAATATTTTCTTCATATTATTTATATACATAGTTTGCATTATTTGAAATTTCGCCTTTAAAAATGAGGATACCTTCTAAGTGAAGATTACTCCTAAATGGTGGTTAAGTGTTTTTGAGCTACTTCCTTACTTGCTTATATGTATCTTTTCTCTTTTAAATTTACGTAAGATTTTGATGTGCTATGCCTACACTGAGAAAATAGGAACCATATCCTCCTCGTTTCAAGCTAAAGCACATATGATTTTGCGCCAAAAGACCTTTTGTTTACTTTAAACCAATTTATTTTTGGATATTTTTCCCAACATTCGTACCAAATTTCAGCTCAATGCGAATTTTTGTATTTTTTATTTTATTATTTTGTATTAGATTTATTATTATTTTCTTATTACAATAAAAATACGAATAAAAACAAAAACATTTTCGATTTTTGAGAATCGAAAATTTATGAGTCATTCTTCAAAAGTGCATGAAACATGCAATTTTAATGATATCGACAAAAAAAAAATCAGGTATGCGGATTTAGCGAATTCTAGAAGTCCAATTTTCGAATACTTTTTCAAGCAATGGAGATCGTATCCCGGTAATAGTTTGCACAATGTTTTTTTCCAAACCGTCCAAAGTTTTCGGTTTGCTTACATAAACCAATGACTACCTATACGTAATATTGGTGGCCATTTACTGATCTATTTCAGTAAATGAATCGTTCACTAAATATTTCCTTCGGTAAGGGCGCCGTCCTGTGGGACGTCAGAAAGACAGCTAAACATCTACTCTGATAGCCTCTCATATTTACCTAAAATACTTTTATATGTACCAGGCCATGGGATTATTGCAGGGAAGTGCTTTGTGGATCATACCACTAGGAAAGTAGAGAGTGGGGTACCTAGTTGGTTTGCGAGCCTAAATATCATACGGGTTCTCACTGAATACTTTCTCTTAAGCTGCTCAGCTTTTGCTACGGTCTAAACACCTTGAATTGTAATTTCTAATCAACTTTGAAGAGATCTTATTGGCTGACATCTCCGTCTGCGAAATTTCGATCAACATTGCTTTCGCTTTATCCTAGAAAAACATATTGCTTCAGCTTTTACCGGAATGTAAATACGAGACCTTGAGGCCAGAGTAGCAAAACTGACAGTTAAAAAAAAAACTTTGGTAGAGCTTAAAATGCATTACTAGATTCGAAACGGTAATAACCCGAGTCCTTTTAGTTTTCTTTTACTATAATTAGTAAGTACAATGAACTTTTTAATAAAAGACTTAAATTATTATTTATAGATAGTTTCTCATATTACTATTTTTTATTTTTTTTTTGTAGACAAGCTACTCTGGCTCTCATTGTATCATATACAAACTAGGAACAGTTGTAGTAGATAATACTAAAACTGAAAATTTTATCTAAATAGACTTTTCCACAACTTTTACGTAGTGATATATAATTTTTTGTTGAAAAATACGAGTGTTTACAATTCATCTTACATCATAAACGTGGTACAATTATAAATTTGTGGGGAATTTATGATTTTATCACGTTTATCAGCAGTTTATCACGTTATATGAACATCCCTATTGTATATTTAAAATCATAATAAAAACTCAAATATGTACATACATGTGAGTTGTTATTTTATAGCTTAACCTACTTTAGCTATAAATCAAAGCAATCGGACGCCTAGATTTATTTTGTGATTTTTTTTTTATTATTTTGAATAATTATAAATTATTATACATAAATTGCTCCTCTATTTCTTGCATTTTATATTTATTTTATAAATAATAAAAACCAAACTAGCCCTTATTTTTTTAAGGGAAAAAATACAAATAAGCAATGAAAATTGTCGAAATAATAAGAATATGAAGTATATAACGATCAATTAGGTAAATTGGCTGACAGAACAAATATAAATTAAGAACTTTTATTCCTTTAAAAAAATATTATTTAACATAATTTTTTATCAAACATCTTCACTACAATTACACTTTGAAAAATATTACATTCTCTTGCACAATTTTTTGGCTGACTGTATGTGCCACGCTTTTTGTTGTAAACAAAGATGCGAATTCGATGATTTGAGTTACCAGTGTTAACATTGATTTTTTTTAGAGTTCGCTGAAAAGGGGGTCGCGGCATAATTTTGGTTTGCTATATTTGTTATACTACGAGTATATTAAACATTTGTGCAGGTAAAACAATTGTATTAAGGTAATCCATTATTTAAAACAAAAAACAGAACAATAACCCTTTCAGTACAATTTTCCAATATATTGGACAAACTTTTTTGTACTTGAAGCTCTTTTTTTTAAATAAGAGCTTTTGATTTTAAAACAACAGTTGTTTTGAGAAAAGTATACTATTTATTCTAATTTACCGCAATTATTTTACTGTATTTTCGGGATGCAGCTAATCTTGATTTTTCATAAAAGTGAAAAGTGTCACAAAATTCGATATTGAGTAGTGTAACATATATGAACAAATTAATTTTTTTTCGGTGGAATTGAGATCCGAAAAAAATGTGAAATGTTATTCTCAGTTTTGAAATATATTTCGCAGAAGAAAAAAAAAATTATTGATATCACTTCCTTGTTTACAAATCTAGAGTACCACCGCCCAATATAATGGACGCTGAATAACGGTAAAACTAAGAGTTTTATAAAATTTTTGATTGTATTTTTGAAATCAATGACCCAAAATTAGCCGGTAAACCAATTTTCAAATCTTAGCATCAGCGGTTGATTTTTTGTACCGAGAGGGATAAATAAAAAAATATCCAAATCGCCATAGCCGAGTGATTAGTGATCAGTGCACAGACTTTATCACTTTATTGGTAGATCTACAAAATTTTTAGATATATTATATTTTCTACCATTTTTACCAACAGAGGCTAAATGTGTACCAATATTTTCCGGAAAGAAAGCAAAGAGATTTAATTTTTGAACTTTCGGTAGTGAGTTCGCTTTTCAAATTGTATTGGAGAAAAACAGCCGTTAGTTAATTTCATTCGAATCGAGTTTTATTCGCCTGGAATATGTTGCCGAAGCCCGGCAGCTTACATGAATTGTTGAGACCGAGCTAGGCGATGCGAATCGAGTTTTATTCGATCACGGATGCCGTCAATCGGCCCAGTTTTATACATACATATATTAGGTTTCTTGTTAAAAATTTTATTGTGGTGAAATACATTTATTGGGGTTTTTTATAAAAATACAATTTATCCCAAGCCGAATTCATATAAGGTGATAGTAGAAGTACAAAATTAACCAATTTTATGCACAATACTAGTAAGAATTACAACAAATATATAATTTTGGCATTAAGAACCACGACGAAAATCCAGCTGCTCTGGTAACATCATCTTGTATGAATTCGCCGTATTTTATCATATGTGATAGAAAACTATCTAATATCGTTACTTTTAAAAGATTTACCAACTACAACCATTTTCTTATGTAATATTTACCACTAATAATTTTTTCGGGTTACGTACACTGTTAGTGATGGCCAGGGTGACAATTCTTGCTTTGTGAAAACGCGCACTGAAAGCATTTTTCATCACTTCACATAAAAATGCCATTCCGTTTTCAAAGGAAAATACTAAAACTATTTTCTAAAAAGTTTTCACTACAAAAAGTTTTTTTTAAGTTTTTTGGTTGTTAAAAATAAAATATGATATTTTTCGCTCGAAAACAGCATCTTATGATAAAGAATATACTTATCTTTAACTCCAAATAATTTACCAAATGATTACTAGCTGCATGTTAATGGAAGAGCCTTAAATTGTCGAGATTTTTTATTGAGTCTGAATTTTTCACTTTCACTTCACCATTTCATAGAACCTGAATTCGATTCTTAGCTCGCGTATAATAATAAAAAAAAAACAAAGTATAAAAAAGGCATACATACACTGGTGCACAGTGGGGTAATCGCACCTAAAAAGGGAGATCAATTCATATGTACATTTAATTTAAAATATTTTAATTTATTTGTATAACTAGCACCAAATGAAGTAAAAAACAGACAAATCCTAAAATATTTTGGTAGGATTTGTTTTTTTAAATTGGTTTTTATGGCGTTACCAAAGAGCGAAAAAAGTTAAAATTTAGCTGTTGCTCCCAAAACAATTGTTTATTATTAATGATAATTTGTTAACATCCTAATCATCATTAAATACAAGTTAAACACCACTCCTATCATTATAATAATTATCCTCATCATTATCTTCATTACTATTTTCATTATCAACATCACCCACATCATCACTTGTTTAGGTAATTTTTTATATGATAATGAATACGAATTGTATAAATTTCTAGAAAGTAATTTAGAATATATAACCCTTAATAAAAATAATCATCATCTTCGCTTGCGTCATTGTCATCATTTTCAACATCTTCATCATCACTATAAGGCTGCATAATTAACAGCTGTTGTACTTCTTTCGGCAAATCCTGCAATTTTTTTTTGGTAGTTTTCTCATACTTGGTGCAACAGGGTAGGAACTAATCAAAAGTATATTGAATATCTCTTCATTCGCCTTTTTCTTGTTGCACTTGCGAGAAAAATTTTCTCTGTAGCTCTTAAGATCTTTTTTCACGCCTCTAGAGCTTCTTGTGGCAATTGACGTTTATTTTGTTTTGAACACGAAAAACTTGTAGAGGACTCAAGCCAACTTTCGTTTGCTTTAAAAAAACGTTTTTCGTGTCTACAGGACATATTCCAACGAATTTTTAACTCAGAGATAAAATATCTCATATTTTCATTCAATTCTTTTAAATTTTCATCAGATGGCCTAATGCGCTCTTTCAGTTGCCCCGTTAAATGTTAAATTTATCATTGAATTGATCGCAGCCAGAGTTTTTCATTATTTCATAAAGGCTTGACGAGTAACCCAAATGATATTTGAGCTCGTTCCTATAAAGAAAATTATCATATAATTAGGCCCTTAAATTTATGGTTATTCTCTGTTTCCCCGTCTACCCGTGACCATATTAGATAAAAATATCATCACTATCATTATTTCTATTCACTTCACATGACATTCATGCATAGAAATAGCAACACTATAAACAATAACAAAGATCACAGCGCACGGCAGTGCGCGCGAGTGACGAAAGCAGCCGCAGTAGCATGCTGAAATGACTCGCTTATATATACACGAGATTTGGAAGTTTTTATCCAGACGTCCAATGGACATGTTTGAGATATCGTTGGANGACGAGTAACCCAAATGATATTTGAGCTCGTTCCTATAAAGAAAATTATCATAACTATAATTAGGCCCTTAAATTTATGGTTATTCTCTGTTTCCCCGTCTACCCGTGACCATATTAGATAAAAATATCATCACTATCATTATTTCTATTCACTTCACATGACATTCATGCATAGAAATAGCAACACTATAAACAATAACAAAGATCACAGCGCACGGCAGTGCGCGCGAGTGACGAAAGCAGCCGCAGTAGCATGCTGAAATGACTCGCTTATATATACACGAGATTTGGAAGTTTTTATCCAGACGTCCAATGGACATGTTTGAGATATCGTTGGAAAGGTCTTGCAAAGTGTGTCCAGAAAATGTATTAAAGCTTCATTAGCGATTAACCGGATTCTTAAAAATTAGGCTAAAGTGTTGCGAAACAAATAACGTTTTTTTGCTTTTGCCGGTTTAAGGGGCATGTGGGTACACCCAACATATTTAGTGTTATTCTATAGGCCAATACCTTTCAAACGATACCTTATATATTAAGTTCCGGCCACTAGTTGGAAAGATCTAGAGGTATATGTGTTTTGGTTCGTGTCTCCACTACCAGATGCTTTCGTATGTATCTGGCGTCTGTACGTACCATCATTTAATTTTTTTCAAACTTTCAGGAATTAAAGTACACGAAAAACTAAGAAGGTTTTGTTCCAGGATGTTTTGATTCGTATGCCTGTGTGGGCGTGGCTGCTGCCTGAAATTCGAAAAAAGGCAATTTTTTTAACTACCACTGAGGCCGCACTACTCAGTCCATGTCATTGATGTGGATATCAGTAGAAGGGTCTTCAAACAAGCTATCTAACGCTATCTATTTTGTTTATAAAATATAAATACGCCATAACGTTATCGCCTGAAAACTAAAAATCGGGCTGCTGAAAATAGAGATTTCGGGCATTTTCTCAAAAACTGGTCAGTCGATTTTATTCTAAGTTTCCACGAGTCTAGCCCAAAATCTTAGCTTTCATCTGGTATATAGCTTATATCTGGGAAAACTCTTGTTGTGGAGATATTGCTATTCAAATTGAAAAAATGTCGCTCCAAAATTGGTTAAAATTAACATACTCGTCTAATTTGGTTACTTTAATATATAAAAATAACATACCCAGTTCCCCGAAAAAAATTCCCATTCCCCGATCACTACTTAAACCGAAATTCCCTGCAAATCGGGGAATTTTCCGCGAGTTGACAAGTTGAAGGTTGCAGCTGTGCTAATCACTTCGTACATGGCTTGGAAACCACAATTTGTGTGTATTTTAGAGTTTTTTTCAGTCATATGCCGAAATTGTAACATTTTCAACGTTTTAATTATAGTTATGTACACAGTATTTAACTATGCTACATGTGTTTATCACCCGCACAGTTAGCTACAGTTGTACATAAATATATATGTATGAATGCATTTAGTTCACCCAATGTGCCGCTACTACTTACATACATATGTAAATTGCCACACGGTCAAAATTTTGGGTTTAATTTTAAACCGCGCTGGGACTACGGCCTTTTTTAATTTTTTATAGTCTACTTTTTAAACCAGTCAATAGTTTTGAGCAATTTTTAATATGTTCTGGTTTAAATTTTAGTCGAAAAAGTTCGTGGGTTAAAACTCAAACTAAAATGTTTTAATTCTAGTTTCTAGGTTTCATATATAGAAATTTTTGTTTAAAATCTAAACCGAAATAGAAAATGTTTGCACACAGCGAAATGTGGTGTTGATTCAAACTCAACATATGAAAGCACATTTACATGCGTGGCTGTAGCTGAGTGTGCAAAGATGCTTGATACAATTGGTTGCTACCAAGGCTGTCCGGGTTCAATCCCAACCAGACGGAGCATGAAATTTAAGATTGTTTTTTTTTTTATTCTTAATTATGAAAATGTTTGGGTTTAANTCGAATCGTATGAATAAATAAAAGGATTTGCCGCCCGTTTCAAAGGCGGTTAAAAAATGCGTATAATTTTCGTCACGAAATTGATATCATAAATTTTGTGTTTCTAGTTCAGCTTTCGTCACTCGAAAATTTTACCTCAAAGAGGTGTTTTATTTGATAATAATTAACACTAAAAATATGCAATGTGTACCATTCTTTACGGTTTCACATATACCCTATAAATCATTGGACAAGTAAATTACGTCATTCTAAGCTATTATTGTAAAATTTACTAAACCCAAATTTTGTTTTGTATGTCTGAGCAGATATGTATATAAAAGTACATCTACTTTCTTTGATACATGCAAGTACTCAAAGTTTCGCCTTTGAAACAAAACAGTATTTAGCCTACTTTTTATATTATATGTAGGGTATAAAAAAACAGTAATGGAGCAAACAACGAACGCGGACTTTCTTGTATGTTCTGTACTTAGTTTTCACTTGTTATATTTGGTTTTGTTTTTCATCGAGAATTTCATGTATATTTCACCAACGAGGTTATATTATATAAATCTACTAAATCTTACTAAAATACTGAAAAAGTGCGCAGACATGCCACAACTTTTTTTTTACAGAATTACACTATAACGTCCAAGGTATATGCAAATGATTACACTTTTGCTTGATCGCACCTACTTCTCACCTATATGTCAACGAATATAGCCAAAAACCACCTATTTTTACGCTTATGATAACAAATAAAATAATGTTACTTAGAACCATAGTAAAGAAAACTAAAACCACTTTATATTGCCTAAATACCGTTGCCGTTTTTACATCAAGAAGGAAAAAGTGACGACTTTAAGAGCATATTGCAAGAAAACGGTAAATTTTTGGGCAAATATTTGATTACATAGTGATGTTGAATTTTATCTACTTTCATTTGGTACTAAACCCTTCTTTGTATTTTGAAATTCATTTTTTGAATTAATACGCAATATCGACTGTGTGGCGCTTGCGGTTTGATCGTCAGTTATACAAACCGTGCATATATTATGAATTTATAATTACATACATACATATATGATTTTGTTTTAATTTGAAAGTGTGACCTACTAGCATATTTTTTGTTTAATAGAAATATAGTAGGAAGGTTTGACCTCAATTCTCTGATTGATAGTTCCATAAATGAGAATCAAAATAACGCTGTACACGCAAATTCTATGTATGTAGGTATGCAAGCTTTTACAAAAAGAGAACGTACAGTTTTTATTGTTTTAGCACTTTAACAATCATTACCTATTTAAGAAACAAGAAAATCTTAAAAATTTAGGATGTGCTTTCAGCTTCATATGCATATGTATGTACATACGTACACATAAATACATACGTACATACTATATTACATTATACAACACAAAAAAAAATAACAAGGTTCTAACAAACGGATTGTGGTAGAGTGATCCAAAAAGCAATATATGTACGAGTATCGGCGTTTTGAAAGTTGCATATGAGTTATATTTTAGGGGGTACTCAAAATTTCTTCCCTTTGCACATTCTTCTGGGAAATCTTATGTAAAATACGACGGAGAACATTTCTTTTGAACATTTTAACCCTCTAATTCTTTAGTAGGTCTTTAGGTTTGGTCTAATTCTTAGAAAGGTGGAGAAAATACACTTAGAACAGGGATATAATGGGTTAAAATACTTCACAAAAATATTTGCCATTAAATTCTACTTTAAGTATCTGAACACACCAAAGCTTACAATTCACCTTAAATGTCAGCGAAAAAACTAAAACTTAATGGTCTACAAAACTGATACCCGAAATTTTTCTAAGAAATCTAATTAAAAACTTCGATTTTTACGAAATTTTGTCGACTCTTCTTAACTTTCGTACAAAGATTGCAGTTTGGAGCTACACGGGTTTTGATAGATAGCGAGCTACATTAATTTTCATAAAAAAAATAAACTTTAAATAAACAAAAGAAAAATAGCCAAAACTTGCCAAAATGTCGCGTCCCTAATTATATTTTCGCCAGTGTAAATAACTAACATTTAAATTTAGTTCCTGTTTTTTTTTTGTTATTCAATACTAGCATTACACTGGTTTACAGCAAAAATGGCACTATCCAATTTCTCTGTAGATATGCTCGGTGATTCCGAAAATCGAGTTAATTTTTTTCTATGGAAACGTTTTCGAGATATTTGCAATGTACCGTTATTCAGCTTAAAACAAAAAGTGGTTCCACTTAATCGCGTATATCTTACGAACCAATTTAACAATCTTAAATTGAGATACTACGTCAAATTAAAGCTAATAACAAAGTTCTCCATAAAACATTTATACATCACTTTCCGATGGGACTGATAGTTTCTGGCAACTTAATTAATCATTCCAGTTTTTTTTAAATTTTTTTATAAAAAAATGAAAATAAATCTAACTTTAACAGAAGAAAAATTTAAAAAATAACAGGTTCTGTGCCAAATTTTTGTACTTGTGCTTAAGCCTGTTATGTTACAAAAAAAAAAAAATAAAGTTACTAATGAAGGAAAGCGAGGGATAAATAAAGAAGTAATGACCGTTCGCACGGTTTTGGCAATTTGCCTATATTTGTTATTAAGCACACTTTTGCCCTACGACGACCGCCTTAATTTAGCGGATTTGGCTTAATACTATTTTTGATATATGTAGCTAAAAAAATGTAGAAACCTTTATTTGTATAAATGTATGTGTTGCAATGTTAATAAACTACGTGTGTACATATGTACATATATACTGCAAAGATTTAGGTTAGATAATTTATTATTCCGATGATGATTCCTTATCGGATACTTAATATATGTACACACATATGTACGTAGTTATTTCATAATTGATTTCAATTATCTACTTCAATGACTTATTTAATTCAATAGATAATGTGTAACGAAAATGTAAGTTAAATATACATTTTAATAAAAACGAGTAAGGGAAGTGCTGACTTCGGCTATGCCGAAGGCTTCATAGCATTTATAAACACATCAGACAATTTTACTTCAACCGATTACTGTATTTTAAATTATGTAGTTGTTTCCGAGCTAAACACAGTTTTTATATTTACTGCATACAAAGATACATAGATAGAGGAGTTATATACTAAAACTCATATCTGAACAACCAGTTGTATGGGTGGCAAATGTTATAGTGATCCGATTTTGTCGGTTCCGAAAAATGATTAATACTTTATAGCCCAGTAAAATTAGATCAAATTGGTACGAAGAAAAAAAATCGTATTTGACACGTAGGTCATGGTCTTGCCCTTAAATTTCATATGGCAACATTCCGCTTTCTTGGATTTTAGGTTTTTTGGATTTTTCGCGATTTGTACTTTTCGAAAAGAAAATTTGTAAGCACAAATATGTAGAGTTTAATTTCCCACATTTGTGATATAGAAGGTTAAAAAAAGCATTTTTATTGTGAAAAACTAGCAAACACTAGAGAATTTCATTTTCCACAACTTTTAATCGAACATTCTTTTTGCACGACGCACAGTGCGGCCGAATTCCAAAAGTGCGTCCAAAATTCGAGAAAATAAAGTTTCTACATAAGCCTTTTTTGACATTGAGTTGACTAAAGGAATCACTCAAGAAGCGAAATCTGTTCACTATAGCGACCTGTACCCTAAGTCCTCTCTTTATATTAATTTCTAGTGTTACCTTCTCCCAAGCACAACATTCTTCTTCTTCTTCTTCTTCTTCTTCTTTGGCGCTGTAACCGCCTAAGCGATTTTGGCCGAGTTCAGCAAAGCACGCCAGTCGTTTCTCCTCTGTGCCAACTGACGCCAATTGGAAACGCCAAGTGAAGCCAAGTCCTTCTCCACCTGATCTTTCCATCGCAGTGGGGGCCTCCCTCTTCCTCTGCTACCACCAGCGGGTTCCGAGTTGAATACTTTCAGAGCTGGAGCGTCGGTGTCCATTCGAACGACATGACCAAGCCAGCGGAGCCGCTGTATTTTAATTCGCTGCACTATGTCCATATCGTTGTAAAGCTCATACAGCTCATCGTTCCATCGTCTGCGGTACTCGCCGTCGCCAACGCGTAAAGGACCGTAAATCTTCCGCAAAATCTTTCTCTCAAACACCCCAAGAGCCGCCTCATCGGATGTTGTCATTGTCCATGCTTCTGCGCCATATACCAGCACGGGCATGATGAGTGACTTATAGAGCGTGGTTTTCGTACGTCGAGAGAGGACTTTACTCCTGAATTGCCTACTCAGTCCAAAGTAGCACTTGTTGGCAAGAGTGATTCTACGTTGGATTTCAATGCTGACATTATTATCGGTGTTAATGCTGGTTCCCAAGTAAACGAAATTCTCTACTTTCTCGAAATTGTAACTGTCAACAGTGACGTGGGTGCCAAGGCGCGAATGTGCTGACTGTTTGTTTGATGACAGGAGATACTTCGTCTTGTCCTCGTTTACCACCAGACCCATTCGCTTTGCTTCCCTATCCAACTTGGAAAAGGCAGAACAGACTTCGCGGTTTTTGTTACCGATGATGTCGATGTCATCGGCATAAGCCAGCAATTGCACGCTCTTATAGTAAATTGTTCCTGAGCGGTTCAGTTCTGCAGCTCTTATTATCTTCTCCAACATCAGATTAAAGAAGTCACATGGAAGGTATTCGCCGTGTCAGAAACCCCGTTTTGTGGCGAACGGCTCGGAGAGGTCTTTCCCACTTCTGACGGAGCTGGTGGTAATGCTCAACGTCATTTTACACAGCCCTATGAGTTTTAAGGGGATGCCAAATTCAGACATAGCGGCGTATAGGCAACTCTTTTTAGTGCTGTCAAAAGCGGCTTTAAAGTCGACAAATAGGTGGTGAGTGTCGATCCTTTTCTCGCGGGTCTTTTCCAAGATTTGGCGTATTGTTTATTTTCCAGGATTTGGCGTATTGCCAGGTCTAAAGCCACACTGATAAGGCCCAATCAGTTCATTGACGGTGGGCTTCAGTCTTTCACACAATACGCTCGATAAGACCTTGTAACCTATGCTTAGAAGGCTGATCCCGCGGTAGTTGGCGCGAATGGCGGGGTCCAGGTATTCACAATACGCCAAATCTAGGAAAAAGACCGCGAGAAAAGGATACGACACTCACCACCTATTTGTCGACTTTAAAGCCGCTTTTGACAGCACTAAAAGAGTTGCCTATACGCCGCTATGTCTGAATTTTGCATCCCCTCAAAACTCATAGGCTTTGTAAAATGACGTTGAGCAATACCACCAGCTCCGTTCAGAATGGGAAAACTTCGAGCGCACAAAGGGTTCTACACGGCGATCCTTCCATGTGACTTCTTTAATCTGATGTTGAGAAGATAATAAGAGCTGCAGAACTGAACCGCTCAGGAACAATTATACAGGTGCATTGTGCTTATGCCGATCGACATCGACGATCATCGGTAGCAAAAACCGCGAAGTCTGTTCTGCCTTTTCCAAGTTGGATAGGGAAGCAAAGCGAATGGG